CCCACTCCTCCTCGAGCTGCGCAGCGATAAACTCGTTGCAGCTCGCAAAGTGCACGAGGATGGGCGCCTTTTCGTCGTCGTCGATGCGCACGTGCCGCATCTCGGCGCGAGTGATTGTGCGTCCATCGTCGAGCGTGGGCGGTGTCGCAAGCCGCTGCTTCATGCATGTGATGATGTGCGTCACCCCTGCGCGCGACAGATACTCGGCATCCATGGCCGCGCGCACACCGCCCACCCATAGGCCCGGAAGCACTTCGTCCATGCTTGCTTGGCCTCTTGCTGCCGCGACCCCGCTGACGGTGTGGCCGATCGGGTGTGACGCTGGCGATGCTCTTCGGTGTCGCCAGGTCGCACTCAGAGCACGGCAAAGGCTGTCGGACTGGCTGTAGAGCGGCAAGCAGAGGTAGCAAAGCGGTCGGTGATGGCAACAAGTTAGTGGTAACCTTCTCACAAGCCAAGTCAAGATGCGGAGGTGGAGATTCAGCTGCGGGATTGCCGGTTTCAATTCAAAATCGCTTTATTCGTCAGGCACGAGCCACTTCCGTCTCGGCTACTTCCTCCACTCCGCAACGCCAAACCCAACAGGCACAAGGCACCTTGGCATGGCTGCGTGTGCTGGAACATGCGCATTCATGCTATGAGGAGCCAGGCGTCCGGTACATGGAGCGGGAACGCAATCTCTCGCCATAGTGGAAGATCAAAAAGGGTGCGGGCGTCGTAAGCAGCGCCAGTCCTGCGAGCATCGTGTACAGGTAGCAGACGCCGCCGAGCTTCTCGTGCATCTGGTGCGTAGCGAGCGGGATCCTGCTCGCTCAAGGTATCACAATGTGGTCAGCGATCTCATCATGAGTTTAGAAGTAGTGGCAAGATGCTGGACTCACGTTGCGCCAGACACGGACCTGCCGATGACCGTGGCAGCGATCTGCAGCGATGGTGGGCACAGATGCGGTCAGCAGAGAGCACAAGGTTGCATCGAGAGATGAGCTTGTGCCAAAACGTACAGCAGACGACGAGTAGAGCCGATAGCAGTCTCCCAAGTATCCGACCCATCCCTGAAAGACGAGCGTCATTGCAGCGCCGATGGGCAATCCGGCGAGCATCGTGACCGTGTACGGAATGCTCTCCCTGCCTAGCCAGCCCGCCCAGCTGAGGCAACGTCGCGCCACAATGCGGTATTTCAGCACCAATCTTGCGGATGATCAGTAAGTGGGGCAGTGTAGGCTCACAGAAGACCAGCCGCCACGAGTGGACTGACGAGAAAGGTCGAGAGCAGCCTCGCTTCGGGCACATGCGAGCGTGCGGAACGGAATCGCTGCACATAGAAACGATCACAGAAGGGCATCGCAGGGGCAGCCAGCACTCCACCGAGCGCCAGAGGTAGGAAGGTGAAGCCCGCTGGCTCCCTCGTTGGTATCACGTTAGCCACTTGACCTGTGTCGCTTGCTCGAAAGAGCTTGCTCACTGTGTACAGCGTCCAATCCATAGATTCCTGGAGGACCAAAGATCAAGGGCCAGCTGGCGAAGAAGATGTACCTGGTGTCGGACGAGGTGCGGAAGATGAGCATCTCGGGCCTCTCCGCCAAAGATCATGGGTCGAAGTGCGACTCACATCAAAGCAAAGAAGAAGGAGAGGTAGAAAGTGGCGCACATGATGATGGGCTCGCGGAGCATCATGTTGATCTGATTCCCAAGGAAACGGTTCCCTTCAGCAGCTGCCGTGAGGAGCCAGCAGTGAAACGGCAGTATGGACAAGACACTCACCGGCCTTCCAAGAACGACGATGCAAAAGGTGAGCACCTTGCGCATGAACGAGCGGCTGGCTTTCTCGCTCGGTTGAGGGTTTCCTCTGCTGGTGATGACTGGCAAGTAGGTCTCTGGCAGGCAGAGTAGCGCGACTTCGAGCACGAGGCCGAGGGCGCCGAGCAGCCAAAAGACGAACGGCCACGGCAGCCTCGAGGTGACGGCTGCACCGAAAAGAGGCCCGACACTGGGACCGAGGAGCGGTGCGAGTGAAGTGATGATCATGGGGTTACTGCGGTCCTTTGGAGCAAAGAGGTCGGTGACGACTGCGGCGGCGTTGGAGAAGGCCGATGATGCAAAGGTTCCAGCGAGCAGACGGCAGACAAAGAGGACGGCCTTGTTGGGAGCCAGTGCGCATCCGATGTTGATGAGGGCATAGAGCATCATGGAAGCGAGGTTGACCACACGACGGCCATAGACTTCGGAAAGCGGCGCCCAGACGATGGGACCGGCTACACATCCGCCTACGAAGGACGTTGAGACCAGGACGAATTCCTCATCGGTCAGAGCAAAGTGACGGACGATGTGTTCGCCTGCGCCATTGGGAGCCGTCGAGGCAAACGATCCGTTGAACATCGTGAGGCCGACGAGGAGGGTGTAGAGCCACTTTCGACGCGGGGACCAGGTTGTGGGGTCATTGTCCGAGGGAGGCCGGCGCGGGATCGCCTCGTCGATCGTGATCCGGCTCGTGTCTGACGAGCACTGGGCTGGCGAAGGAGGCTCTAGCATGGTTCGTGGAGCTCAGGGAAGGCAGGAGAGTGTACATCATGGGAATCGGCTCAGTCTATATATACGTGGACCCAACGGCGCTCATCGCAGCGACGAGACCGCACACAGGCTGAGCTTTTGGGCAGTCGAGCAGTGTTGGGACGCTCCATTGGGACGGGTGCGAGAGAGAGAGAGAG